AAAATTCAGGAATATATTTGTGTATTTGTGTTGAGCCTCTTTAGGTTCTTCATTAGGACCGGCTTTTCTTTTTTACATTCCCACCTGCTCAGCCACACACCTCAAAGACTTCTGGTATAGATCTCAGTAACTTTTGTTTTTCTTATGTTTCTTTATCTACCTTCTCCCAGTACACTGTGAGAGATCTTGAAGTGCGTATTTATTCAGCTCAGTATATCCACTGCCTGCCATGTAGTAGATCCACAATAAAGGTTTGTTGGCCAAATGGCTGAGTGATGACCCTTGCCCAGCTCCCCCACAACCATTCCAGTGTGCCTGCCTCCTGGGGTGATAGCCAGAAAGAGCAGAGGCAGACTGTCTCATTGGGCAGGAGAAAGCATGAACTCTGGAGTCAAATGGACCCTAAATTGATGCCTGGTTATGAGTGATGTCATCCTGTGCAACTTCTCTGCAGCTGATTTTCTTTGAGATGCTTTGTACACTACTGGGTCTGTAATTGGTGCTCAGAAAGAGTTGAGATGCTTTGTACACTACTGGTGCTGCTATGAAGCTTAACTAAGATGGGGGAGGTGGTATGGCTGAGGACAAAAGATGGGTGACCCTCCTGGTGTCTGTCTCATCAATGAGGCAGTGCATGGGGGTAGAACTGGAGTAGATTTGCCAGTAGCTTTGCTTGCTTCATTTGCACTCTCCTTGACCCTCCTTTGCCCATCATGTCTCTCTCTCCAACTATTTGTCTCAGTGGTCCTCAGCACAGCTGCTCCTTAGAATCACCTGGCCACAACTTGGACCAGTTAAAGCAAAATGCTCCCAAGGGGTGTTTTATGTGCAGCTGGGATTGAGTGTTACTGGCCCTTCACTCTCTTGCTCCTTTTAGAATGAGTACAATATTGCACAGTCCCAGGAATAACAGGCGTTTACTTGGAGCAAAAACTCTTTTGTAGGGAAGGTGGTACCTTTGGCAGAAAGATCAGGGCTTGGTACCGGAAGCTTAGTCCTAGCTCTGCTGCTAGCTGGAGATGTGACCCAGCAAGCCACAAAAACCTCTTTACTCCGGTTCCCTACCTTATCAAATAAGCACATGGGATCTTCCGTTCTGTCTATTTCAAACTGTAATGTGAAGTTTAAAATGGAAAATAGATAAGACTTCAAAAATTTGAAAATGACATAAGTGTAATTCAAGCGTTCCTATCAGAATCCAAAAAAATACTTGCCGTGCCACTTACTAGTTGTGCAGCCTTGCACAGCTCATTTCACTTTTTGAACCCCAGTTTCCTCATCTGTAAAATGGAGCTACCTACTCTGCAGATTGCATGTTAGCTTCCATTGTTAGCAGCAAAGGAAACAATGGGAACTAAAAGAAAAACACAAGATGTTATAGTATTGTTTGCTATTATTTATTAGTATTATTACGAAGCCATGGGTAGACTCACACCAGTCCATAATTTCAACCTGCCATCAAATCCCATAGTCTCTCATGTTAGTAGATACTGGCACCCATGTGGCCATAAGCAGGTGCAGCATTTCTGCCTGAAAAGCTTTGAGCCTTTCAAACAAATCTCAGGGAATCTTTGGTTCCAGACCAAGCTTGCTGAGGTGACAGGTACAATTGACTTTGGTGCCTGGGAGCTGCCCTTTTTAGTTTTCATAACCTGGGCTTTCCTGACTGTTAAGTGTGTGACAGAAGATCAATGCTGGCAAGAGGTGAGTATGTGTGATCAACCTAACTGAAGTGGGCTGAGATCCTTCCATTCGTGGTGCCATAATAAGAGGCGAAAATACAGAAGCGCTGTGCAGGCTGAAATGTCTCGCCCCTTTCCTCTGTCCTTACCTTCTCCCTCTTGAGTTACAGCACCTGGTACCTTTCTGTAGATCCCAGAGGCCTTATGTTCTTTAGTATGGAGACCTGTATCTGTACATTGACCACAAGACTGGTGATTATGAAAGGTGAGGTCTCTGAGAAATCCAAGATTTAGAATAGTAAACTTGAAAGTGAGAGATGGAGAAAACATCACAGTGACTACTGATTTGGGCTCGACTGGTGTTTATATTCTTACCTGGGCAAAGCAATACAAATTAATATTGTCAGCCATTGACATAAACAGATTTTTCTTTCCTAGAGTGGATCAGATAATTACGCTGTTGTAACATATCTTGCCAACACACAAAACAATAGATTCAGGATGTCAGGTTTCAGAGCAATGAAAGGGAATAAATATCNGAGCACATCCAGGTAAATCCAGACTGCACAGAGCTTGCTGGGCAGAGGCCACCGGTATTCTATGGCACAGAAGGGTATTGTCAGCAAGTGGCCTGTGCCCCTGGGTGTGTGGGTTATACCTGTGACAACAGTTCCCATCTTGGGGGCAGGCACAGGTGGCAGCAAAGGGCAACGCAAGATACTTTCAACATTTGAAAAAAGCCTGATTGCAACTTAACTATGATAAGATTGCACAGGCTGATGAACACAAGGTTTGAAGATTTCTAGTCTCTGGAAGTATGTCAGTTTGGTGAACTCAGATCGTCCCTCTTTAGGGGTTCTCTCTCCTTCCATCTAGCAAAAACTTTTTTCTTTTTTTTAAAATGATGTGTCAAAAGTTGTGTTGAATTTTGGGCCCCTTTGGAGTACCTCTCACGCTGTACTATCATTATTCCCATATCTTTCCCTAGATTGTAGGTCCCTAAGATTAGTCACATCTCTCCCTCATTATTATAAATATCCAGTGCCACACAGTCATGGTAATAAATGGTGCAAGTGACTAAATGATTAAAAATCCAGTTTGGGAATATGTCTTTATTCATAAAAACGAAAAAAATCATCCAATAATGCTTTGGATGTTAAATTCAAGTTTGAGGTGAGTGGGAAAAATTGAAGACAGTGAAGCAAAGCATGGGTGTCTTTGCTCTGAGCTTTGTATCAGAGCAGTGGTTAAACTTCAGTGGGCATCAGGCTGTCCCAGAGGGCTGCTTGAAACAGCGACCGCTGGACCCATGTCAGAAGTTCTGATCTGTTCAGTCCGAAGCATGCGGGAGAATATGCATTTCTAGCAAGCTCCCGGGTGGTACTAATGCCCCTGGTCCAGTGTCACTCTTTGAGAACCACTGTTTAGGGCAGTGGTTCACACCTGTGGGCTGCCCATTAGAATCAGCTTTAGAGAAGGTCTTATTGTCCAGACCAAACCCAGCACAATTAAATCATTATCTCTGGAGAGTGGGCAGAGGTGAGATCCAAACATCAAAGCTCCCCAGATGATTCCAATATACGGAGGCACTGCAGGTCACCTGCTATGTTAGGAAAATAAAACATGCCTTACAGACATAGGCAAAGTATCCTGGTTTTGTTTGTGTATTTTGGAGGGGGATCAAACGGTTTTATAAACTTTAATTAGTTTGATTAACAGTATAAGCAATGGTGTTAGATCTGCGTGCATGTGAGACGGAAAATTATAAAGACCACTTTCCTTCTTGATGTCACAGACTCACAAAACTGAGCAAACTCCAAACGCAAATGTATTCTCCTTACCAAAATGCCACCAGGGATATCTAGATAAGTTAAGGGTGCAGGATACAAGCTTAATTTAGAGCTTTTCATTGGAATTATTTGCAAAGAGCTTGAGCTAAAAGGAGAGCCTTTTCTTTAGCAGCGCCTGGGGTGGGGGGGGGAAGCCACGCTCCGCCTGTTCGGAACTGATGTTGGCCCTAGGAGGGGAATTCTGTGCAAGGAGGCAGCCGCGGGCTTTACTCCGGGTTTCTGCGGCGTGGATAAGGCGGGGGCATTTCCTTGTAGGAGGTGGCACCGGGCCCCTCCGGGTGGGGGAGGCCGGAGGACCAGCTCAGGGAGGGGAGGACCCCGGGCGGNATCTGTTCAGTCCGAAGCATGCGGGAGAATATGCATTTCTAGCAAGCTCCCGGGTGGTACTGATGCCCCTGCTCCAGTGTCACTCTTTGAGAACCGCTGTTTAGGGCAGTGGTTCACACCTGTGGGCTGCCCATTAGAATCAGCTTTAGAGAAGGTTTTATTGTCCAGACCAAACCCAGCACAATTAAATCATTATCTCTGGAGAGTGGGCAGAGGTGAGATCCAAACATCAAAGCTCCCCAGATGATTCTGATATACGGAGGCACTGCAGGTCACCTGCTATGTTAGGAAAATAAAACATGCCTTACAGACAGAGGCAAAGTATCCTGGTTTTGTTTGTGTGTTTTGGAGGGGGATCAAACGGTTTTATAAACTTTAATTAGTTTGATTAACAGTATAAGCAATGGTGTTAGATCTGCCTGCATGTGAGATGGAAAATTATAAAGACCACTTTCCTTCTTGATGTCACAGACTCACAAAACTGAGCAAACTCCAAACACAAATGTATTCTCCCTACCAAAATGCCACCAGGGATATCTAGATAAGTTAAGGGTGCAGGATACAAACTTAATTTAGAGCTTTTCATTGAAATTATTTGCAAAGAGCTTGAGCTAAAAGGAGAGCCTTTTCTTTAGCAGCGCCTGGGGGGGAAGCCATGCTCCGCCTGTTCGGAACTGATGTTGGCCCTAGGAGGGGAATTCTGTGCAAGGAGGCAGCCGCGGGCTTTACTCCGGGTTTCTGCGGCGTGGATAAGGCGGGGGCATTTCCTTGTAGGAGGTGGCACCGGGCCCCTCCGGGTGGGGGAGGCCGGAGGACCAGCTCAGGGAGGGGAGGACCCCGGGCGGGAAGAGGCTGCTCCTAGAGCGGCCGCCACCAGGGGGCGCCCCTGCATCCCGCGTCCCAGCTTCCTGACCCGTCCGGTGCCTGCCCCCACCCGCCCGGCGGGATCACCCCCGCCACCCGCTGTGGTTTCTGGTTCCCGCTCAGTCACTCCTGCCACCCCCCCACTGGAATTTTAGGAAGCGAGAATTTCTCTAGGGTGTCTGGGAAATGACAGGCGAATTTAATGAAGTCATTCCAGCGCATCACTTGAATGGTCCAGCGCGGGGGCTGGCTTTGCAGTGAGCATTATTAACTGTGCAGAGTGGCGCCTCGTCTCCCTTGCTCACCTCCCTCCTCTTCACTCTCCAGGGCTGGGCTGATATTTCTTATTTTAGTCTTTAAGACTTGGCCAGAAAAATCTCCTCTTAAGGGCAGTTCCCGTAACCTGTCTCTAAGCTCTGGGTGACTGCTGATGTGCCTCTGTCAGGAGTCTCAATATTCGCTCTCGCTCTTAAGGAGAGATCTGGCTGTATTACTCATAATTTGGAAGGAATATCACACTCTGCTCCCGCTGAAGCCGTCCCAATGTTTGCTGACTTACTGAGAGATTTGACTGTTTCAAACTCTGCTGAGAAGAAAGCAAGATTAATCTGTTCCCATTTGTTTTCCAGCCTCCTCCAAACCAGACTGGAGGAGTTTATACATAAGCATTTTTAAAGAGTTGAGGGTATAATTCAAAGACACATTTCCAAATTAGCTTCTCTGGGCAGGGAACAATTAAAGCTGGAGTAATTCATTTATTCTAATAGGGACTCTGCATATATTAACATGAAACCCACTGCACCACTAATGTTCTTTCTGCAAATGTTCCAAGGTAAATTGGGAAGGTTTTACCACTCCACTAGAAGTGCTAAAAACTGTGTGACAAAGACAAAACTGTTCTGTCCGGAAGGCTGGTCTATTTGGAAAGGAATATAAAGGGGTGAAAAATCAAGAGAATTCAGAATGATGGGTAAGTTATTGCCTTATGACTGTATTGGGGGTATTTATAATCGTTTCTCCATAAACTGCATGTTTTCAAGCACAAAACTTTATAATCATCACTGTACATAAAATGTGCGTGGTTTAAAGCACAAAACTCTCCAATGATCACAGATAATAGGTTATCTGAGTTTTTTTTAATGTGAACCCCCATTTTAAGAGTAAAATGTAAGTAACTAGCATAACATGGTAGACCCTAGTCTATAAACAAAGCCTTCTGTCTAGTTTGTCCCCTGAGCCCCATCTCATCTGCTAATGGCATGCACATACTCTTTATTACCAGTGTGGGTACAGCTGGGAAACCAATGCCACTCACCATACAGGATGGTTAACATGGACACAGGCATGACAAGGAAACCCAGCAGCATATCAGCTATGGCAAGTGACATCAGAAAATAGTTGGTGGCGTTCTGCAGCTTTTTCTCTAAGGACACTGCCATGATGACGAGGATGTTCCCAGCAATGGTTAGAATAATCACCACAGCTGTCAATAAAGCAGACCAGTTTTTTTCCTGGATTCGAAGTAAGGAGAAACATGGTGGCGAGAGGCACCCTTCACAGGAAAGGTTGGTTCGATTTTCAAAATCTACTGTCCAGTTCAATGCATCGGAAGTGTTAGTGTCTCCGGAGTTAAAGTCATTATAGTAGAGCCTTGTGTCATCATTTGATTGAATTAAGGAGTTCGTAGTTGAGCTCAAAGAAGTATTTTTTTCATAAAGAATATCCATTTCCAAGCCGGAACTTGTAGCCTATGAAGTGTAGAAAGACTAACAAGTTATAGAATCTGCTTGCCCTTCGGTTTCATGTCCTCACACTGTGTAACACTGGAGGTGGTTACATGCTGGGCTTCTTTGGCTGGCTTTCTGTCTCCCATTCTTACAATAATAGTTAAAGAACTGCGATGGCTCTTTATATTTCCTTCCTTGGCAATTTGAGTAGAGTCCACTGGTTTTATTTTTTTCACCAAAGCAAGGGCAAAAAGCCCTGAATGAACTTCTAGCACAGAGGTTGTAGAGCTTTGAGTATTCAGGGAGATAAATGTGGTCCTGGCTGAAGAAGAAAAGTTTTGTAACTACTAGGAATCTTGTTTAGCATATATCTCACTCTGCTGGTTATGCTGATCACACTAGTTTAACCCCAGCAATATTAACATAGCATGCAATCCAAAACAGCAGGGATATATGCATTCTACATTAAGAAAGTCAATTAAAAATACAGCCAGTGTTAATCCCATAGTTATTGAACGTACTTTGGGTTACAGTTCTCAGTTAGTCTTAGGCTGAATTGCCACAGCTGCTGTCAGGAATTTCAGCTCATATTATGTTGCTTAGTTAATAAAAGGGGTGGGGGAGTCTTAACATTATGAGACAACTTTCCATAGTAGAAATATTCATTGAAATGATTACATTTTGGCCAAGTGTGATTACAAACCAGAAAGAAAATTATATAGCAATAGAATATAGCGGCATGAGAACTTACATTTGTCTTCAGGGTCCACACACGAGACACTCGTGGCTATTCTGTGACTCGCTGCATCTCTCATAGTAATTAAGTCGGTGTGGAGTCCGCTCTCCTTGAGCTTCCACCAGCGTAATATGATAGTAATTTGATTTCTGTTTTGCTGACTTTAAAAACTGCATGCAAGAGCCGAGCCAGTTCCAGCACTGCGAGGTCCGTGCCGGCTTCCTCTCCACCGCTCAGCTTGGTCCTCCCTCCCTGTGCGGTTTGCCTCAGCAGGCACACATTCAGAAATCATTCACGAGTCCCTGTCAAAGACACAAAAAAGAACTGCACAGGAAACCAGGAAGAGCCGTCTGCACCAAGGGACTCCTGGTTACCACGGGAATGGAGTAGCTCTCTGGCTGCCTCCTTCACTTCATCAGACCTCCCTCTATCTGTATGTCATAAACTGCAAGGTAACAACAGCCAGGGAGGGCGGACCAAATAGGCTTTTTATTTTTTTTCCCTCTTTTTGCTACATGTTAATATTGGGAAGTTTTCCTTTGCTTTAAAGAGAAAGAACCTGGAGAAATGGCCTTTTGTGCAGATTCCTAATAAGGCAGGTAAGCCGCACTGTGGTAATTTTTTAGGACTCAGAGTGAGGAGAGACCATAAATAAGGCTAGAAAATGGTATGTCCTGGCAGCCCTATTAAGGATACATATGGCATTTCCATTCAAAGCCAACAGTGTTTATGTCCAAAGTGGAATTGCTGACATCAGCAACATGGGCTTGGAGTGGCAAAACAAATTTGTGGTAATCACTCTGATAAATTATTAGAACTATTTTTATTTATTATTTAATAATACACCATTCAACTAGCTTATTTTTTTCCTTAGAAATATGCCATGTAGAAGTAATTCAAAACCTCACATGTGGTAGAGAATAAGCCAGTTTTGCTGAAATAACTCTAATGACAACCTGCCTTACTTGTAAAAGAAACCCTTTTCCAGATAGGTTTCTAAAGAAGGTTGGAGATACCTCCTCACTTTTACAGATGAGAAAATGGGTTCTTCCCTGAATAGTTGGGGTTTTCTCGGTTTCTGTCCACCTCCTTTTTCTCTTCTTATTCTTTACATTCTCCCTAAACAAATTCACTCTCATGCCTTCAACATGTTGTTTGTGTCCAAATCCATACCTCTGTAGCAGATTGTTTCCCTAGGTCCAGATCTACATATCCAGCTGCCCACTGGATCCTTCCATCTGTAGCCTGGGAGCCCTTGACCTCAGCATCTTCTGTCATTCTCCCTTCCCTGCCCTTCTCTCAGTGCTTGTCTCCACCCATTCTTGTGATTAATAGTATCACCATCTCTTCAAACAGCTGGCTCTTATCCATGACTTCTGCTTTCTCACTGCTCGATCTTACTTAGTCTCCAGTACTAGCTCTGTGTACATATTTCTCAAATCTTTTCCTCTCCAGCCCACGGCTAGTGCTGTGGTTGAGGGCTGTGTCCTCCATCTCCTGGGCTGGGGCACTGGTCCCCCCTCTCTGCCCTGTCCGCCATCCGCCTGCCTCTCTGCATCAAGGGTCTGCACCAGGGAGCAGGTGGCGGAGAGCACATAAGCAGCGGAACTCCGAACAGTCTATTTGCTCCCTTGAAAGCTCAGTATTCTCATTTGTAAAATGGGATAATAGTACTACCTTCCTCGTAAGATTGTAGTGAAGCTGAAATGAGATAATGTGTGTAAATATTTAGTCCATGTCCAGCTTACGGGATGCTCTGGGTGAATGTTTGCCATTTTTATTTTTATTAATATTCTCATTGATATTGTTGTATAAAATTGACATCACTCCCATGCCTGCTTTCCCTCGCCTCTTCTTTGTGGTGTATGCCACCCTTTCATTAAGTCTTCTCATGTCCCGCTGCCCCTACTTTTCAGGCCTCACTCTTGTTACTCTCCCATGAGCAGTGCACGTGCAGATGGAACTCGCATGTTTCTGGCCATTTTATGCATTCGTACTTGAAGTTCCCTGTGTCCAGAATGTTCCCAACATCTCTATATTTGTGTTCACCTGAAAGATTTCTACTCAGTTTTCAAGGCTCAGTTCTAAAGTTATCTCCTCTGTGAATCCCAGACCCTCCATTTATTACTTGTGTGACCTTGATTAAGTTTCTTAAATCTCTCTGTGTTTTAGTTTCCTCATCTGTAAATAGAGAATATTATTAATAATACTAATACCTACTTCAGAGTATTGATTTGAAAGCTAAATAAATGTACTTATGTGCCCGGCATACTTCAAGCACTCAGTAAAGATTAGTTGTTGTTATTATTATGTGGTAAACGTTTACTAGGCTTTCTGTGGCTCTCCCTCCCCAGTGGAGGCAAAGACTAAATTTCTTCTGCAGTCTTCAATTTTAACACTCATTGCATTGCATGGAAGCCCCATAAAGGCAAGAGCTGTGTCTATCTTGTTCACAGTAGTGCACATCATGGTGCTTAGATATGTGTTTTGAATGAATGAATGATTTATAATAACTGTTCACATGACTGTCTTCTCTACTAGATGGTGAGCTGCTTATTTATCTCTGTACCTTTAGTACCAAGCATGGTGTCTCATAATGGAAGGTTCTCAGTAGATGTGTTTTGATTAAATTGATTGTTAGCATATGTTAAAATGAATTGATTGTTAGCATATATTAAAAAGCAGAATTAGGGAGAAACCTAGAACCTCTAATTCTTTCTTTATTACTTTGTCAGATGTGATACTAATTTAATTTTATTAAAAAGGGCAAAGAGAAATGAGATTTAAAAGAATTCAAGTGCTGGATAGTCTCTCTAAAGCTTTTTTCTGTGTTAAATTTTGTTCTGTGGATTTCTGTGTTATAGCTCTCCTTGGAGAAGTCTGATGTCCTCAGGCTATTATTCTTCATGAAGAATAGCTGGGCTTCTAGTCATGGAAAAATTAGTCAATGAGTAGTGTTATACGTGGTTTACACTGTGAAATAAATTTGTTAGTAAACATCTAATATTATTTACAGTTTTATAAATAATTGTTATGAACAAAGCAGTAGGGACATAATCTAGGCCCTTGGCTACTGATTCTTCAACAGAGCTTGTCTCTTGATAGTGTGAGAGCTAGATTTGTAGGAAATCTATCTTGTAGGTCAGGCACTCCTTTTGAGTTTGGTGAACAGGAGTGTGTATTGGCTGCTGTGGTGGACACTGTGATGTGCTGCCCAGACTACCTTCAGGACTGAGGCACTCAGTCTGCCTGCTGTTGGAAGTGTTGATGGCTGGTGGCTCTCAGCTGATTCTCCTTGTGAAAATTACCCTCAGCCAAAGAGACCACCTTGCCCTTGGTCATGCCAGCATGCAGTGACTGCTCTTTCAGGATATAAAGGTCTGGCCCCCTTGCCTCACAGCTGGATATTAAGGGCCACCCTGGTTCTGGAGCTCCCCTGAGATCTGCTGAAGCCTTTGTTGTGACTGAGTCATAGCTAAATGCCTCTCCCTGCCCAGTTCTTTCTTTTGCTCCCTGCAGGTGTTGATCTGAGATCTCTCCCCAATAAATCTTCTGCACACAATTCTGTGTCAGAGTTGTCTTCCTGAGGATCCTAACCTAAGAACTTACTTTTTAAAGTGATACTTACCCTGATACCACCTGTGGATGAGGTGGATGTCCTCCAGAGAACAGGAGGTGAGTATTGTCTGTATGTATGTGACCATCTCCTTGTCATAAACTCAGAGTTCTTCAACAGACAACTGGCTTTGCCATCTAATTACTGCCAGAAGGAATTTAAGGTCAACAACTCCAAAACTAGATTTATTATTTTGGGCAGAATTTCTCCAATACTTAATTGAACTTTATATAGGAGTGTATTTTACAACTAGTTTATTCAGGAGGGCTCACCAGAAAGTGATGGCTTGAAATTAGATTTTTTTAAAAAAATGACTACAGTGGTATTTGTAGCCCTTGCTTGATTTTATTTTAAAAAGTGACTACAGTGGTATTTGTAGCCCTTGCTTGATTTTTTTCTTGGATAAATTTATTGGGTTTCTGAAATATTAGTGTGCCTTATGGATGTTAATATATGTGAGAGAGAAAAAAGTTTCTTGAGCAATTAAATCTGGAATGTACTGTATCCCATAACCTCCTCCATGCACATTAGCATATTAAATATACCATGCATATTAGCATATTAAATGCTGTGTGAAGTCCTGCAGTAAAGAAATTTGTTTATATTTAACTTTCCTACTCCCCCTCTTCCAGCATACTTAATGTAGGATGCTTTTATTTGTTTAAGTTGAGCTATATTTTAGATTCATTACAATATAAAAATCTTAAGTATACAGTTCAAGTTTTGAGCAGATATATACACCCATGTAACCATCATCAAAATCAAGATATACATCATTTCCATCACTTCTGAAATTTCCTTCATGCCCCTTTTTGACCTTTATTAAATGGAAACATGTAACATATACTTATTTTGTGTCTGCCTTCTTTTTCTCAAAAGTATGTCTGCGAGATTCCTTTATGTTGCTGTGAGTAAACTTTTTTTAAAAGACATTTGGAGAATCAACATTTATTTTTTTGTTCAAAGGAATGTAGACTAGGTCCTTGTTCTGTTTGTACTTTTTTTTTTTTTTTCCTTTTTGTCTTTTTTTACTGACCGGCAATGGGATCGCAACCCTCNTTTTTTTTTTTTTTCTGTTTGTACTTTTTAAACTTCTTAACTTTTCAAGACAATGCCAATCTTAACCTCCACTCAGTTGATTGTATCTGATTTTGTTCTGAATTGGCAGCACAGAATTCTTTTACTGTACTTTTTTTTTTTTGAGGCTGGCAAGTACACAGATCGAACCCTGGATGTTGGTGTTATCAGTACCACGCTGTAACTGACTGAGGTAATTGGCCCACCATACTCTGTGTTCTTTAAGAATAAGTCTGTGATATTTCTGCTGCTCAAATCTTACCAATGGTCTGAAAATGAGAGAAAAAATTCATGGAGGTTTTTCTGAATTATATTTAATCTATCACTTTCTTTGAATGCTCCAGTTTTCAGTTTGGAACAAGTCAGACCATCTAACCACTGTATACATGGAAAACAGTGTCTTGAATTGCCTTCTGCTATGTCTTTGGCTTGTATCAAAAGAAACAACTACTTGAAATTACCTTATGACTGTCTCTATCTTTT